TTGGGTGAAGTGAGGAAAATTCGTATAAAGCGCCTTTCCCAAAGGACACAACGTCGGGCCTGGGGCTCGAACCTCTTAACCCACAACCTTAAGATTACGAGTCCGGCAGCCTAACCACTGAGGCTGAGACTATTAACACTTTAGAAACCATCCATCCTGTCATGACCACGACTGTCAACTGTCAACCTTACGTTGGGAGTAAAAGCGTGCCTTACACTAATATCTTGGAAAAGAGAAATAAATAAATTGCAATATATTGATCCCCGTGCGAAAACTTTGATTTCAATAGGAAACATACATAGATAAACACATACTTAAATAAACAAATATATACATGTTAATACAAACAATACCAAGTACACTAGTTCTATATTTCACTATCTAATGCAGAACAATTTTACAAGCACTGTGGAGTGCCCTGATTTTGTTTTTGAGCTCGGGTTGCCGTGTCTTTCTCAATGACACATACAAGTAAACACCCATTTAACCCCATCTCACCGACATAATTTTTATTCTAACGTAGATTTATATGTGCTTAACAAACGGTCAAAGAATGTATTTTCTTTTGGAAAACATGGCCTAGATACCAGAAAGTCGGACAGGAATATGTCAAACCTTTCTGTAAAGCAAGTGTTCTCGTAGCTGACCTAAATAGAGAATCTGTCAAGAGACGAGTACGCAGTCTTACCTTCCCAAAACGACTACCTATTGACGAGAACAAAAGTGGTTTTTTAAATTTAGACAGCTGGTCTTCTTGGATAACGTCATTATAATATAGAAAGAACGCCTAAGTGGTTGTGGGGAAGGGGCAGGGGGATAATCGTTTGCACAGGGCGTTGTCTTGGACGAATGGTCGCTATAGAGCAGGTTCGATTGTTTCTCATCGACAGTCACATAAAATTAAGTATTTCAGCACATGACGCTGTTATTCAAATGTTCACTTACTGCTAACTGCCATAGGCGTCTTTTATATGGACTGTCATTCTGCCACACCCCTGATCTTCTGGTACGAAAGATCTGCACCTAGCCTTCTCGGACGGCCCGTGTGCAAGTTGATCCCTTGGTGGTCTAAAATCGATAAGAGTAGGCTTCGGCCGCCACCCGGTAAAATTTCCTACCAACTGAAAATATAAGGTGTGTCCCGGGTGCTCATATGACCTTATACAGTTGCGAGCGCCGTAAAAC